AAGGTTTTCTGACAAGATCTCTTTTAAATCTTATTCAATGTTTTCTGGTATGTTCTAGCACCTAAGAATCAAAGCTGCCTTATCCATTTCCATATGAATCATTGTTTCTTCCATTTTGTCATTTTTTAACTTTAATTCTTGGAGATCATATTCTAAATCATTTATCTTTTTCTCTTTCTTATAATTTTTGTTTGTTATTTTTTGTAGTTCCTGTCTGTTTTCATTTATTTGTTTCTTAATTTCTTCTGTCTCATGTTTAATTTGGTCTGTTAAAGCATCTATCTTGTCATGTATGGGGTCAATTTCTTTTTTCATAGCCTGTGTCACGGATTCCTGTATCATCGCTTTTAAATCTTTAAGTGTTAGTTGGGTGGTACTCATTGTATTTATTTTCAGCTTAATTTGGCTAGGTGATGGTATTGACGGCTTCCTACTGCTAATGACACTACCGCTTCCCCCACTTGCCATGTATTAATTTTGTTTGTTTTATTTATTTATTTATGCATTCGATTTATATACTGCTCATACCCGAAGGTCTCTGAGTGGTTTACAGGCGATTTTCCAAATACAGTTAATTCCTAAACTAGGGCCACATGAAACAGAGGTGGGGGCTGCCTACCGGCACCCAGGTGGCAGGATAGTTGTCCTTCTGGCTTCGGCTCTGGCTGCTTTCTTCCTGGCGTCCTTGGGGTCGGCGTTGGCATCCAAGAGCAGGTTTTTCCCTCAGCCTCGGTGGTCTCCTTGGAGCACGGCCTGTGTTCTTCACAGTTGGCTTTACATCCACATTTGGCTCCGCCGTGCCTGCGCTTTCCACACTACCGAGCTCTCCGTGACTCCACGACTCCGCCTCCTTCTCCCTTCATCATCGGCCTCGCCACGATGTTCCTTCCACCTGCCAGCAGGGATCACCTTGTTTTGTGTTGTTTTTTTATTTATAACTTTCTTCTTCTCCTTTTACCCCTTCTTTGACTTCCAGTGCTTACTTTTAAATCAAATGAATTTATTTATAATTTATAAAGGTCTCTCTTCCTTTCTTCTTTTAATTCAGAAGATTTATTTCAATTTAAGATTTAAGGATTTAATTCAAGTATATTAATTTATATAAATTGAACCCAAAGGCATAGATAATCCAAATATGTTAATTTAAATAACTCTCTCTTCTTTCTTAATAATTGTTATTTATATTGTTAAATTATCTTATCTTATTATTTTATGACCAGTAAGTTTCAGTATCACATATCCCAGCTTCTTATCCAAAAAGATAGGATGGAAAGGGAAACCAAAAAGAAGAAAGAAAAAGAACAGAGTTCACTAGTCACTCAAATCACAACACCCCATTCTTTCTTATACAGTTATTTTCACCTCTCTTTCTCCCTTTCTCCCCTCCTCTTTCAGTCTCACCACTTCTATGGCTGTCTAACCCCATCTTTCATAGTATTGTTCTTTGCCGCTGCCCCTGCGTAGCTTTTTATTGTTGTCTTGTTACGCTGTCCCACTTTCACTTTCTCCGGTTTAAAGTCTGTCTTTCTCCATGTATCCTTTCTGGAATGTTGTTTTCTGGCCACCGTTACTCTCGCCGCTGTTTTGGCCTCTCCTTCCTTCTTTATTCCACTCCTCTGGAGGACTTCTGATTACACTCCTTCAGTGCTACCGTTTAAAGCCGCAGTGCATACAAAGAGAAAAACAAAATACAAACTATTAGATACCTATCATCACTGAGTAAGTACTTGTGCCTACCTTAAGTTCTTATCTCTTACCGTGTATGTTAATTCCCCTCCTCTAAGCTTGAAACCTTATTTTCTACAGCCGTTTTAACCGGAGGATTTCTCTTTTGTTTTCCCTCTTATGTTTTTTATTAAGTATCAAACTAGCTACTTCTTAGCCCACCCAGATGTAGTCAAGAACAGAATGATTTTTTTTACTTAGCTTCGATTATTTTGGCATTTAGTTTTCTTAGACTCTCATCGGTTCTGCGTGGTCCACTATTGCTCGTTGTTTTTGGTGACGAGCCACTTCTAGCTCTCGCTTCAGAGTCCGCTGCGTCTTCCAGGAATTTTGCCCCCTGCCTTGCTTTCTCTTCCTGAGAGCAATTGAGGCGTTAAAACTGCCTAGGAAAGCTATTGTTTAGGTTGTTGTGTGGAGAGCACTCAACACACACAACCTCTCCTCGCGGTACCGGAACCTCCCTCCTCCTCATTTCCCCAACTTTAAATGCATTCTCAAAGCCCCCCCCCCGGCTGGCTTGGAGAAGGCATTTGTCTCTTTACATTCCTTCTTCAAGCTAAGTGGAAGGGGGGGCTTGGAGGATGCATTATGTTAAAGGTGCTTTCTTTCTCTGCTCCCCACCACCTCAAGCCTACCCAAGGAGGGGTACACTGGCCGGGAAAGGGAAGACTGATCGGGGAGGGGAGGCATGCCTGCCCTTTGCTTCCCCAGCCACCCTACCGGGAGCCGCATAATATGTGTGAAGGAGCCGCATTTGGCTCCTGAGCTGCAGTTTGGCCACCCCTGAGTTAGACCTTCACAATAAAAAAAAAATAATTAAATTTGAGCTTTCTACCAAGCTGTAAGATAAGGTATGCTAAGTACCCTAATAATTTCAGGATAATTTGCCAGCAGTTCAACACAGTGAACCCTAGTGTTCTTTCTGGTGCTTCCAGACTTCTAAAATTAGTTATTAAATATCCCATGTTGTTGATTGTACTGACTATGTGTAATCCACCTTCAGCCCCTGTGAGAAAGGTAGATTCTGAATAACATAAATAAAAACAATTTTAAAATGTTGAGATAGAGTTGAAACTGGGCTCGATAGATTGTGTATAATGTTAGAACAAATTTAGAGTCCAGTGGCACCTTTAAGACCAACAGACGTTTATTCAACATATGAGTTTTTGTGTGCATGCACACTTTGTCAGATACATTGTAAAATTCATCCCAGTGTATTTGACAAAGTGTGCATGCACACGAAAACTCATACCTTGAATAAAGCTTTGTTGGTCTTAAAGGTGCCACTGGACTCTAAATTTGTTCTACTGCTTCAGACCAACATGGCTGACCACCTGGAACTGTGGACTGCCAATTTCCCATTCTTCAGTACCCCCAGGGGAAAAAAAAAAGCAAGGGTAGGATCTTGTCTAAATTCCGTGCACAGTGTGCGGCATCCCCACCCCAAAGCAGTCCAAAATGCCCCTTAAGATGAGGGACTCCCAGGAGCGACATGAAGTGGAACTTGGAGGGCTGCTGGAATAAGATGGAATTCCCCCCCTTTTATGTGTGGATCTTTTTGATGGGATCCATCCTGATGTGTCCTACTAAGATGTCATCAGTTATGCTAACAGTAGGCTGTTGCTTGTCATGACTACCCAAGGCAGGATGTCCTGTCCTGGTTCAGGCAGGCACCTGGGGCAAAAGGCATAGTCCAAAAACAATCTGGGGTCAAAGCACAGCTATTCAAAAGGCCAGGCATAAAGCCAAAAGGGCAAATCCAAAGAGCACAAGTCATGGTCCAGAAGGTCAAAAGACACCAATATCTAAAACTCAAACATTGTGGACAAGTTACTTCCACACTGGGTTTCCCTTTTCTGGCTGCTTTTATCAGGAGTCATTCAAGGCCAGGTGCAACTCCTCAACCTGCTGAGTCATCTAGGGATAGGTGCAAGTCCTCAATGGCTGAGCAGCCTATAGGGCTGTCAGCCTTGATTCTGCAGTGATTCCAACTCACAGGCAGAGGTTGCCTAGTGCTGGGCTGCCAGCCGTGCATTATGGCACCACTTCTGCACCTCCCTCTGGGCTCACCTTCTCCGGCATTCCCAGGACTCTGATGGGTGAGTTTGGGGGTGAAGCTGGTGAGTGAGGCTGGGGGTGAGGCTGGTGGCTGCAGGGCCTCTGCTTCAGCCTAGGATCACAGCCTGCAGGACTGAGGGAGTGGCACACTGATTTCAGCCTGACTGCCCACCTGACGGAGTCTCCACCTTGTCTGGTGGGTCTTCCTGAAGCATCTGAGGGCTGGGGCCAGCTTCCTCCATCTCTTCCTCATCCGAGGAGGTGTTGGCAGGCAGGCCCTGCAACACAGGCACAGTTGTAAATGGAACTAGCTTTTGCAGCTTCCACAAAAAGGTTCATATCCATAAATATATATAGGTTAATATAAGGAGGTACATAGATCCCAAGGCATGTACTGTTTTTATGGTTAAATCCAGCAGCTTGAACTGAAGCCAGAAAAAAACAGGCAACCAGTGGATGCCTTGTAAGGCAGATGCCATATGGTCATACTGGTTTACTCCAGTCAACAAACAAATGACCGACTTTTACATGAGTTGAAGTTTCTGAGTTGTTTCAGGAGCATGAATACACATCTGACATAACAATATTGTGCATATAGGAATCCATATCATTGCATTGAGTTATCTGGCGTTGGCTTATTAGCACATCAGTGTACACATGCACTGCTTCTGGTACGATATCCTCGAAACCTGCCTATTTCCAGCAATTATCTGCCATATGTAATAGTCAGGTTTTGCGATGGAAATAGGAAATCGCAGATATTTGTAGTATTGATGTAACTGAGCCAGTCCAACAAGTTTCTGTAAGTGTAGAAGTGTGGATAGGAGAGTACAGTTCCCGAGAGTATCTATTTTATTTATTAGATGTGTATCCCACTCTTTATCCCGAGAACTCAGGGCAGTGCTTATGCGGTTATCCCATTTTTTCCCCCCTGACTTCATTTCCGTGAGAGAGAGCTCCAGCAAGCGGTGAATGTCGATGCAGTGGGATTTCTTCTTTGCAAAGTGTTCTTAAGTAATATTTTTGGCCTAGCCACATAGTGACAGATTAGGAGAGGAGCCAGGTACATCCTTTCTCCCCCCTCTTTTCCTTGTAATAGGAGAGTTATAGTTTTGGCTCAGATTTCAACAATATGCTGTCAGGTTTCTCTGCTGTTCATTAAGGAAAACTTAGCATGAGCAGCAAGGTTTTAATAATGTTTTTGTTTCTGTTCACAGTGTGGATGACAAAGCTCCCTATCTGGCTTTGGGAGCAGTGAAGAACATTTCACTTAACATCTCTATCTCCAACCTTGGGGATGATGCTTATGATACCAACGTGTCCTTCAACTTCTCCAGAGAGCTCTTCTTCATCAAGATGTGGCAAAAGGTCAGTCTCAGGATGGGGAAAGGTATTTTTATTAACTTGAGATCATTCAGTGAAACTTTTACCTCTCTCTTTTTTCTGAGGATGCCTATCAGGGAATTTAAATCTCCTGTTTATAAGCTTAAATAAAAGCTTCCCTATATTTCTGGAAGCTCTGTGTAGTTCTCTTTCTTTACACTTGCATACACCGGGGGGGGGGGAGTTAAAAAGTGTTGCCCGGGTGCATGTAGCTCTTCTTTTCATTTCAAAAATGTTAATGCAAACTAGTGTTGTTAAACTGAAGACAGGAAGAATATAGGCAATAGCTTCAAAGCTTCTTCCTACACTTACATGCTCAGAGTGTTTGATCTATACATACTACCTATTAGGGTGAATTATCACAGTCAAAAGTGCACCAGTCGGCATGGTGGTGATTTGTGACAAATTGTTGCCTCTTACCACATCTCTCAGGGAGTGTACCAAAGTTTACAAGAAGAAATATTTTGCCACTTGCATATCTCCTTGAAGGTGCCTTTGCAGGGGGTCTGATAATTTATATTTAAGCCTGGCTAAAGGAGAACTTCAGGATGTGGTTAAATATAAGCCTTGCCTTTTTGACCTCCCAAGAAAGAATCACCTGTGAGAACTTGCCATAAATTGTCACCCTTTGCACAGCTACATTGTGGAGCATTTGCCTGAAACGGTAAGAGTCCAAGATCTGTGGCACTTCCAAAGGTTGTTCGTAGTGATATCTGATCTCGCATGTTTAAGTAAATTGAGCAATAGTTGATGTTGTAGCTTTGCTTTTCCTGCCAGATAACTGCATGAAATATAAGCACTTTTCATTCATTATGTTTTACTTCTTGTATAGGGGATCACATGTAGTATGTTCATCCAATACACTTGGTCAAATGTAACGACTGAAAAAGTTCTGTATTATGATTGCAAAGTTGCTGATTCCCACAATGACTGATAAACAAATCTGGTTGATGTTTTTGGTATTGTACCACTATGGAGGCTACTCTATATGAGCTTTTTTCTTCTTTGTGTGGCACAGTGTACGCCCATTCCCTTTGCTAGTATCATTTTACATGTTTTGGTAATTTCATCTTTGGTAATTTCATTACTTCCAGGCTCACAAGCATATGTGCGTGTGTGTGTGCGCGCACACACACACACAAACACATACCAAAAATAAAACAACCCCCCCCAAAAAAACCTTTGGTAATTTGATTTAGCAGAAATACCGAGCATGAGCAGAAAGGGGAGTTAGAATCCAAGCCTACCAATTTCAAGTGTCAGGACCCAATTCCATGACTTCAAAGCGTAACACACAGTATAAATATTTTAAAGAATTGGTTTTTTCTTTAGATCAGAGTTAAGAATGGCAACACAAAACTGTCTACAGAATACTAAATATGAAAGAAATATTTATTAAGGAGAGGACAAGAAACAGTGATTTTAATGGTTTAAACTATAGGAAGACTTGTTTAGGTTGAATATTGGAAAAATATTCCATTCTGTAAAAGTTAAGTGAAATGCAGAAGGCTGCCTAGGGAGGCTGCAGCGCTTTTGTCCTTTGTATAGGGTTGGATTTTTAAAATTGTGAATGCCATGTTAGCTGCACAGTAACCTGCTTTAGGAACTGATTAATGGTGTTTTCGTACACACCAAATAATGCACTTTCAATCCACTTTCAATGCACTTTAGCAATTCTTTGCAAGTGGATTTTGCCATTTCACACAGTAAAATCTGATTGCAGAGTGCTGAAAGTGGAGTGAAAGGGGATTGTTCAGCATATGTGGAAGGAAATTGTGTGTGTTTAACTCTGTGATTCCTGACCTGGCTTATACAATATACGGTGTCTATTCAAGAAGGTCCCTGGTAAACCCAAAGACCAACAAAATCTGTGAACTGGGCAATTACTTGATATGGAGAGCTGTAGTCCCTATGATTGCAGTGGGGATTTTTGGCTGACTGCATTTGTGATTATGGGGCCATTAAGGGAAGGGCTACAGTATTAGAAAATGGGAAATGCAAGGAGAGGAGAGGAGTTCTGTCTGGTACCAAAAGGCAAGGTTTATTCTTGCCTTAAAAACGGTCATAATTGCTGCATATATTTCCAATAAAACTTCCCTTAATGGGAATTTGAGGTACAGATTTGAGCTACAATATTGCATGTTACAATGAAATAACAATCAGTACGTTAATACTGGACAAAAAAAGGAAAGCCGTAAAAAAAGAATATGAATATATAAAATAATAAATTTTACTTGCAATGTGGTAAAAATGACTATATTACTTTCTTCAGCAGCAAAGTTAATAGACACAAGACAAGGATGTTTATGAGACCTCTTAAGAGGAGAGTCATGTGATGGGTGCAAAAAGCACATCCTATCTGTACCTCAAATATTTTCACCTCTGAAGAAGCCCCCCAAGGGGCGGAAACACGTCAGGTCACTTGTATTGGCCCTTGTGTCCAGGCCACTTGTACTTTGTAACAAGGCTTTCATTGGGCCCTTATATGTTTTTAACTGTCTTTCTAATAAATACATGTATTTTTGTATACAATAAGTGTACACTACATTTTTAATAGTGGCCCCATTGATCCCTCGTGGTTCTTGGTTCCAGGTATTGGGTCAAGTCTGTTTTCCCCTCCCTTTCTCTTACTTATATACATTGCTAACCCTGAGACTGGTTGGCGGTGCTAGCTCTTCATTGTTGAGAGGATCCTTCCTGGCAGTTGACAGTGGAGGAAAAAACGAGGTACTTGCCTTCATGTCATAACTGGGAAGGAAAGAAACACTGCTAGCAGGCAAGCCCATTGTCTTTAGTTATCTTACACAGCTAATTTCCCCTCTTCAACTGCTAGGGAAGATAAGCTGAGTTGAGATAACTACACCCAGCCAGCCAGCAGAACCTCTCAATATGATGCCAAAGGAGGGTTGCCAAGTCCTACCTTAAGCCGCAGCGGGGGACTCCCGGCTTGCCCAGGGAGCGCACGCGCCGCGATCACGTCACCTGGAAGTGACGCGGCCATGTCGGGTGCACCGGGGGCGGGGCTGCAGTCATCCGAGGGAAAAACATAGAGTTTTTCCTCAGATGACCCCAGCCCCGCCCCCGGCGCGCCCGGCGTGGCTGCATCACTTCCGGCTGACGTGCTGACGCCGGGCACATCCCGTGCTTTGGGGGTTGGGTTCCCCCCGGGGCCTGATCCACCGGCGGCGGGGAACGGGCCTCTGGGGCGGGGGTTTCCCCGCCCCCCGGGGGGACTTGGCAAGCCTATGCCAAAGCAAGGTCCTTTTTCTGTGTAATATTGTGCTAGGTTTTTATGTCAGGAGGTCTTATTATATTTGTGATGGGCCAGATTATACATTTTGTTTGTTTGCAGGAGCACAGGTCAGGAATATGATCGGGATTTCCTGCCTGGATTTAAAAAAACAACAACCAGTATTGTGTTATCACTGGCCTTGTGTAAAATGCTTTCTTGTTTAAAAAAATGTTGCAGAGAAACTTTTAATAGCTTCTCATTTAATGCGCGTGACCCAAGCAGAGTCATATTTTTCCATGTTGTCACCTGAAACGCATTCTCGGCGGAGGAAAACCTCAGACTAAAGACCACCCTGGCTGCCAGGTACCTAATCTCCCTTGGAGAGCCCTCTGGAGATACGGTAACTCGCCATGTGCTTCGGTTTGTTGTTTTTTTCCCATGCGCCTACGAAGCAGCGCTTAGCAGATTAAAATGTAATATGCTTTCATCTGCTTATTACACCTACCCCAAAAGTGAGGACAATAACTGGCTCTTTGTTTGAAATGGCTTATGTAAACTTCTGAAAAGGTATATTAGGTGAATAGACACACAATGTCTAATATTACGGTTGAAAGGAAAAATTATGCCCCATGCTCAGTAATTACTAGAGAAGCGTTTACTTCATGCAAGTGTTATCGTTGCTGCTGGCTCTCATTTCCTTCAGACTCTGAAATTTCATGACCCGTGCTAATGGCATTTCTTGGCAAGCCCCCCATTTCTCTTTGCTAGGGTGAGAAAGGGCACATTGACTGATATTTAAAAGGCTGCATTTATTGAGCTGTTTCATTTTTCTCCGCTCTGTAACCAGACATCAGCAGCACCATGGCTGCAGGCCCTAAATGTGCTTTCCATCGTGTTGAAGGCTGTCTAAGGCTGCTGCTGGTATGCCATTGAAGGTTTGTTGTTGTTGTGTTGAAGGCTGGCCTTTAAAACGTCATTAGGAAGACAATGATTTGTGTGGTAGGCATCCAAGGCTGTGTGGTTACTTTGCCAACAGTGTGTCCTTTGCTTAATTGTATTGGCCCTCGTGCTTGAGTTGCAGTATTTTTGGCAGAAATTCTTAACTCCTAATACAGTTCTGTTTCCATGTTCCCAATTGATCTGCATATGCTGAATATTTCTCGTGGCTGGCTTACTGGGGGTGTCCCAGGGAGCCAGAGATCTGCCATGCCCAGGACTCACCGTGGTTGTGTGCTGCAGCAAATAAATACACAGACTGTATCTATAATGCATTTATCTAAGGTTAGGGAAAACCTTAGCCAAACATTGGAGAGCGAGTTTAGTGTAGTGGTTAAGTGAGCAGACTCTAATCTGGGAGAACCAGGTTTGATTCCCCACTCCTCCACTCGCAGCTGCTGGATGACCTTAGGCAAGCCATAGTTCTGTCAGCTCCACCTACCTCACAGGGTGTCTGTTGTGGGGAGGGGAAGGGAAAGTAGTTTGTAAGCTGTTCTGAGACTCCAAGGGAAGGGCAGGGTATAAATCCAATCTCTTCTTCTTCTTGGTCTTAAGCTCCTTCTCACACCTTGCTTCTCCCCACTCCCTCCACACTCAGGGAATCACAGCTAAAAACCAACTCCTGTGAGTGTGTGAATGCAGGTGGATCAGAGTTTCTCCCCTCTCCCCCACCACACTAATTGGGATTTTGAATCTTAGAATTCTGGTTAGCATGTGTGTCTTTGTGGGGGAGACACTAATGTGTGGTCACATTCAT